CCTTCGTTGATATTTCCGCACTTGATCGCCTCCAGAGGGCTCCCTTCCGGCATCGGATCATTGTCGGCAATTTTTAAAGTGAAATTGTTATTTATTCCACAAAATTCTTCTTCTATGGGTGATTTATTGAGCGGCGATGATGAAGATTACTACTACTCCGATCAGGAGTCTCTCGACGGGCTTGATAATGAAGAATCCTGTTTGCAGCCTCTTTCTTCCAAAGCAAATACCGCAAAGGTAAGTTGTTATTGAATTTGGATCACTCATAGGTAAAGTATCAGTTTTGGTATATCTGTTTCATCCGAATTACGCAGTTTCTCGACTTAATCGTTCTGTTTATGTCTATGAAACCTGGAATTTTGTAGGTGATTACGAAGGAATCGCTTTTGGCGGCACAGGTGAATGAGCAATGATTCTTCTTGATCGTATTATGTGAATGTTAGTCTTTTGGTTTCAATTTGAAGGCTTAGCTGGGTGATTCTGTTTTTTTTTCCAATAATGCAGAGGGAGGATTTGCGACGAGTGATGGAATTGTTATCGATTAAGGAGCATCATGCTCGGACTCTTCTTATTCATTACAGGTGGGATGTGGAGAATTTGTTTGCTGTGCTTGTTGAGAAAGGGAAAGATAGCTTGTTTTCTAGTGCTGGTCTTGCAGTTGTTGAAAATCAACGTTGTGGTGCTTCTTCCTTTTCTCATTCTTCGGTGATGAGTTGTGATATCTGCATAGAGGATGTACCCGGTAATCAGATGACAAGAATGGATTGTGGCCATTGCTTTTGCAATACTTGTGAGTCCCTTACTTCTTTTTATTTTCATGACCTTAGAAGGAAGTTCCGTATTGAGTAGTTGAATCCTCTTTGGTTTTCTTGATTAAGGTTGGGCTGGGCATTTTACTGTAAAGATAAATGAAGGTCAGAGCAAAAGGATTAGATGCATGGCTCATAAATGCAATTCTATTTGTGATGAAGATGTTGTCAAGACTCTGGTTAGTAAAAGCCAACCTCATTTAGCTGAGAAGTTTGACCGTTTTCTTCTTGAGTCATACATTGAAGATAACAAAATGGTGAAGTGGTGTCCAAGCACTCCACATTGTGGTAGTGCAATACGTGTTGAGGATGATGAGCTGTGTGAGGTTGAATGCTCTTGTGGTTTTCAGTTCTGTTTCAGTTGTTCTTCTCAAGCCCACTCCCCTTGCTCTTGCTTGATGTGGGAGCTATGGAAGAAGAAATGCCAAGATGAGTCCGAGACAGTTAATTGGATAACTGTTCACACAAAGCCGTGTCCCAAATGTTACAAACCCGTTGAAAAGAATGGTGGGTGCAATCTTGTGACTTGTATCTGTGGACAGTCTTTTTGGTGAGAATAGTAACCTAGTTTCACCATTTGTTTCTCTGCTTTGTAGTGAACATATGTCAGGTGGTAATGAATCTCTTGTTTGGTTGTTACTTTGTACAGTTGGTTGTGTGGTGGAGCTACTGGAAGGGATCACACTTGGTCTAGTATTGCGGGTCATAGTTGTGGTCGGTATCAAGAAGACAAAGAGAAACAGATGGAGAGAGCAAAAAGGGATCTTTACCGGTATATGCATTACCATAACCGGTACAAAGCACATATCGATTCCGCCAAGCTCGAGGATAAACTTAGTGATACTATCCGTGAAAAGGTGTCAATTTCAGAAAAGAGGCAATTACAACTTAAAGATTTCAGCTGGGTTACCAATGGACTCCACCGGTTAATTAGATCAAGACGAGTTCTTTCATATTCATACCCTTTTGCATTCTACATGTTTGGAGAGGAGCTGTTCAAAGATGAGATGAGCTCTGAGGAAAGAGAAATAAAACAAAATCTGTTTGAGGATCAGCAGCAGCAGCTTGAGGCTAATGTTGAGAAACTTTCGAAGTTCTTGGAGGAGCCCTTTGATCAATTTGCTGATGAAAAAGTCATGGAGATAAGGATTCAAATCATCAATTTGTCAGTTGCGGTTGATACCCTTTGCAAAAAAATGTAAGCCCTAGTTGTTAATTCATTAAAAGAAATCAAAGAGCGCTAAGTATGTATATTGAAACTGACATGTCAAGAAAATTGGTTTTGCAGGTACGAATGCATCGAAAACGACTTGCTGGGTTCTCTGCAACTTGGCATCCACAACATTGCCCCATACAGATCAAAAGGCATAGAACGAGCATCTGACTTTTATAGTTCACGGAATTCCGAAGAACCTGTTGGTGAATTATGCCAACCTTCTGATTGTGGTACAAGTGGTAAGTCTAGAAACATCACTTCGTTGAGACACATTTACAATACCAAAGCAAATTGTCTGATATTGTGTTGCTAACACCAAGTACCAACCAACTCGTTATTATAGGATGGACTTCCGGGTTTGATCAAGCTTTGGGGTCAGCAAACTCAGAGGAGACAAGTTGCTCTTCCAGGAAACGTCCGAGAAAAGACGGAAGTTACAGCAACACCCAAACCAGCTTACTGGATTTAAATTTGCCAGCAGAAGTCACTGAACGGAAATGAATTGATATTTATTCTCATCACAATGAAATTCTTTTTGTCCAAACCATGCGCGCTACCAGGAAATGTACAGCTCTTAACCCAGACCTTCTGCGCTTGACTTTTCTATTTAAATTCACTAACCTGATTCATCCCGGTTCTGAGATAAAGGGTCAGGCTGCTTATTATTTCTTAGAAGTTTCAAATCGGTTTTGGATTTTACATTCTACTTGGGTTATGGTGAGTAACTTTGAAGCTGCCTTTGCATTCAGGCTTCTCCTAACACCTTAATGTGTTTGGTACCTTTAACTGAAATGGATTGTTATCAGAGATAAATTAGAAAGTTACATTCTTACGGTTTTTTTTTCTCAACCAAAAGATGCAATATGATATGTCTTTGTTGCCCTTTCCTTCTTCAAGTTCAAATTCCCTACCAAATTGGCAAATCCTTTTTAAACCAAATTAGGTTTTCTGCTCTCACAGCAACGACACCGTGTAGCAGAAGGGTCTACCTAGGGTTCTGTATCACATGACCTCATAGGGTTCGTTTGTTGGATTAGTTCTTGAGGAAAGTATCTTAAAAATTACTGTGGAAGGAGCCCAAATTATCCGAAAAATGGGCAAGTTTACGAAGACAGGATTTGTGTGTTGCTTGACGGTTTGCTCATGCACAAATAGATGCTGCGAACACAATGTTTTGGTTGAAATGACAGCGCTTTCTCTGGACGATGATGCGTAAACTCGACAACTCATTCACGCAAGAAGACCAATTGGTACTTCATCGACAAGTCACTGAAATTGCACAAAGCATCTACACTAGAAAGCTCGAGTATCCATCTGGGTCCATGTCCCATTGATGCAGATATTAGAAAGTGAGTCTTAGATGCGGTTTACCGCTGCGTTCGAGAGCTAAAGCTAGAGGGTTGTATCTTCTCTCGAGTCTCGACCATAGATCCTACCAGATTGCCTTTACACAGGCAAAAGACTTTTGAAATTGACTTTATCTAACGATATTCTCGTTGATGTTCCTTCTTCGGCTTGCCTCCTGTCGCTTCAGTCGCTTGACCTTATCTTTCTCATGTCTAAAGACCAAGATTCTCATGTTAGGCTTTTATTGAGTTGCCCTGTTCTCAAAGATTTGGTTGTCCGAGATGTGCAAGACAATATGACAAAGATTTGTTTGTATATATGTTTCAGGAGATCCTGGTAGGTCCTTATATATAGACTCCCTTGGATTACGTGATTTTCCTCGGCCCTCGCCTTGATGTAGCGTTTGGAAACAGAAGATGATGGAAGAGTTAGAGACTTAGAGTCTATGTATAGGGTTGGTTATATGGAGACTAAGCAGAGAAAGCTTGTTAATTATGTTCTTGTTCAATTGATTCATTATATTATCACATCCTAATTTGCTGATTCATCATCAATAATCTTGGTTGATAGAAAACAGATGCAGAAGCCTCTTTGATTCCGTCTTTAACACTCTGGCTTCATTATTTCTTTCTTTGACTGATCTTATATCTTGCTTCTTGGTATGAGCCCATTTGCAAATAAAGTAAATTGTTCTTCATTTGATTCATATCGTCTTTAGAACCTTTTTTTTTTTTTTGAAATGATATGGTTACAAAATATTCGATAATCAAATTGCTACACCTATGGTTTTGATTCCATGGTAAAAAAAAATAATCCCATAGTAAAACAAATATTAAAATCAAGGAAACAAAATAACAATCGATACACATTCAAAACTTTCCACAGAACAATCTCGAGAAAGAATCGATAAATATCTTGGAATCTCCGAGCGAGGAAGCAATGTGGAAGCCCAAAAAGGAGAGGTAACAAAAGAGATCAAAGAAGATCCCAAGACACTAAAAGAGCACGTTCATCCGGTAGCATGAGTTTAAAAAAGAACGAAGTGCCGACAAACAATTAAACAAGCTGACTTCAACACCTGTTTACGAAACAGATCAGCAGCTAAGGTACATTCGTAAGACATGACTATACTAGATCGATAATAGATATAGAAAATACGCCCATAAGGTCTACCAAAATCCCATCTATGATCATGACATACGCTTAACAAAGTGATATCTATTCTCGAGCCTTACTAGGTCTACTTATTTTGACGTAAAACACAACCAAAACCAATCATGAAACCAGACCAAATCTGCACACAAACAATCGATCTTTAGAACTGTTGTGCTCATATGTGTTTGGTGTTATCGTGGATCAATCTAACCCGAATGATTGGATATTATTATTGAATAACCTATGATATAAGTTTGTCATAATCATGGTAGAAATTACGAATAAAATTGTGTCAGCATATTGTTGTAACACCCCTTGTTTTGATGTTAAGACTAATCTAGCAATTATAATGTCAAAAGTTTTTGGCTTTTCTCACTAGAATTCGACGTTTGAAACCCCGGATCTACAAAAATAGAGAAAAAAAAACACCGGTGTTTTTGGGTGGGAAAACAGGTTGTAAAAATAAACCCCAATTATTTGGATTAAACCCAAAAAAATTCTCAACTACATCTTAAACGTTTTTAATTTCCATCTTTCGTTGATTTTCCTTTTAAACTCTGACTGTCGTTGATTATTCCATCGTTAAGTTGCCTAATAGACTGATTAGACGGGATTAATTGCCGTTTAAACTCTCCGTTAAATAAAAACGATGTTATTGAAAAATCTATATATAATGAAAAGTTATAAAACGAAATCTTTTCTTTGTGGAAAGCCATTATTTTAATT